GTTTACAAATTTAGTCTATCTGGAGCCTTACGGACTCTTACAGGATAGCGCCTCTCCTGAGCAATTCCTGCACTAGGTACCAGAGGGCTTGGATGAATATCAGCAATTTGTGGATCCACACTTAGTGGAACCTGGTCCTTCTGACCCGGAGTCCCTTTCCCATTTTCGGATTTTTCTGGACCATCCAGAACCTCTATCGGAAGTCCTTCTGGACTAATCAGTGGGACTTGTACGTCTACTGAGGGATTGTCTGCAGACCTACATGGTACCCCCTTCTCTTTGGAACTCAATATGTGGTCTATGTGTACAAATCGAATCTTACAATTGTTATACATGTATATCAAATAGGTACGAGAACCACAAACCTTGGTTACCTTCCCAGGCAACGATTTAACTAGTCCACCTACATTACTCTTGACTCTAACTCTATCATCTACATGCAATATCCGTTCTTGTACACGACCCTTGTCATGATACTCAGTTTGTTTAGCTTGCTTCCTATCAATTTCTTGAGCCAGATTAGGCTTCAGTAATGAGAACCTAGTTCTAGGTTGTCTCTTTAGAAATAACTCTGCGGGTGTTCTACCCGTCGTGGTATGAGGACTATTACGGTAAGTAATAAGGAAGTTTGCTAACTTGTGGTGTAATGACAAGTTTCGTTTACGTGGATTAGGATAAAGTAATTGCTTAATTAGCGCCTTCTTCACAATTTGAACGGTACGTTCCGCTGCCCCGTTAGAAGCAGGATGATATGGCGCTACACGTTTATGTATTATACCATTTCTATTCATAAACTCGGCAAAGTCACTAGAGATAAACTGGGGCCCGTTATCCGAGACTATCTCTTCGGGTAACCCATAAGAACTAAATAGTCTTCTTAAAATATCAAGAGTTTTGTTTGTTGTGGTAATTTTCATTGGATACACTTCTACCCATTTTGAATGACTGTCTATAACAATGAACAAATGTTGACCCTTTAACTCAGCATAATCAACATGCAACCTCTGCCAAACACGACTTGGCCACCCCCATGTTTGGAGTGGTGCTAGAGGTGGTTTGTTTCTGACAGACAGACATGTTTCACATTGGTTTACAAGATTCTGAATATCTTGGTCTAACCCTGGCCACCATAAGTAGCTTCGAGCTAACCCTTTCATTCTACATATGCCCAGGTGTTGTTCATGTAAGTCATTTAATAATGTTGACCTAAATTTGCCAGGTATTACTACTCGTAATCCCCACAAAATACACCTCTTGTCAACTGATAATTCATTTCTGCGTATAAAGAAAGGCTGTATCTCTTTATCCTTAACATGGTTTGGCCAACCATT